AGCAGTAGTCTCAGGAATTTCATGAGTATCTGCTACAACATCACTAGGTGAGTTCTCTTGCAACTCAACCTCAACTCCCACTTGCTTCGTTGTCTTGAAACTTTGCTCCACATCTGGTTTCTCAGCAGTAGTCTCAGGAATTTCATGAGTATCTGCTACAACATCACTAGGTGAGTTCTCTTGCAACTCAACCTCAACTCCCACTTGCTTCGTTGTCTTGAAACTTTGCTCCACATCTGGTTTCTCAGCAGTAGTCTCAGGAATTTCATGAGTATCTGCTACAACATCACTAGGTGAGTTCTCTTGCAACTCAAGCTCAACTCCCACTTGCTTCGTGGTCTTGGAACCTTGCTCCACCAACTGCACTTTCTTCAATTCCCTAGCAGTCCTTTTGAAGCTAACTTGTTTCTGCTTGCTCATAACGCAGTTCTCACAACGACCCACACCAACAGATTTCAGACCTTCTAAAACTCCTTTCGCAGTCAACGTCTTCATTCCTTTCACACTCATATGTCCAAGTCTATTGTGCCATAGACTTGAATTTGAAACACACTAAGCAACAACAGCCATGTTAATACACCTTGCAGTGGTGTATAAAGTTCCAGATTTTATGCCACGTGCTACCACCATAGCACCCTTCATAATCTTCCATGAATTCTTCCCTAACTCTGTTGCATAACCTATGCTGTTCAACTGACCAATAGAGATCAGGTTCTTCTTGAGACCAGAAATATATCTGACATCCTTTAATGTCCACTGGTTTCCAGCTGAAGTTTTTATGCAGACATCCCTTTTTTCTTTAATCTCCAAATCTTTGTTGTCGATACACCTTCTCGAAATTTTCAGACTTGAAATTTCGGAACAACTCTTTATTTGGAGACGAATGAAAAGATGCACTTGAATCCAAAATCCAGGATTCAATCGAACTGTCCACGTTGAGGATTAGAGCATTCCCAATGTCTTATACTGAATTTTTAGAATCATCATCATCTCCAGATTTGTGATTCTGCTCCCTCTTTGGTCTTGTACAATCTGTCTGAAAGTGACCTTTTACTCCACAACTCCAACACTTTACATTTGGTTTGTTTGGAGATTTTCCTTCGTTCCTTGATTTTGATCGCCCATTGTTTGGGCCCTTTGATTTACTTCTTCCCCTTCGATCAACTTTAAGAGCATTGCCTGATGAATCTCTGATTTCCCATTTGCGAATACTTTCGCTAAGAACTACATCTCGAATTTCATCAAACTTCAATTTATCATATCCTCGAGAACTGCTGATTGTGGCAACAATAGTATCCCACGACTCGGGTAAAGATGACATCAAAATCAACGCTTTAATTTCATCCTCGAAATTAATTTTCACCGAACTCAGTTGACTTACGATCCTATTGAATTCATTTATATGATCAACAACAGATCCACCTTCAGACATCTGTAGATTGAACAATCTCTGCATCAAATACACCTTGTTCATAGTCGACGGTTTTTCGTACATATTCGACAGCGCCTTCAACAGATCTGACGTTGTCTTCTCCTTAATGATGTTGAACGCCACATTTCTGGACAGCGTCAACCGGATCAACCCTAAGGCTTGTCGATCCTTGAGCTTCCACTGTTCCATGGTCATGGTATTCGACTTCACCCCCAACAGGGGTTCGTGAAGATCTTTCTGGTACAGATAATTTTCAATCTGCATCTTCCAGAAATCGAAATCGGATGCATCGAACTTCTCAATTCCAATCTTTGAACTTTCCATCTTCACAGATCGTGGTGACTTCTGCCTAGCTCTGATACCAATTGTTAGGATTGCACAACAATGCACACACTCGATCAAGATGAACCCAAAAAACAGAATAGAGAAAATGGAAGGAGAACTCTGGCTAAAGGATTTGTATTGATGACTACAGATATGTACAATGTAAAAGAGAATGCAGAGAATATAGAAAGTACATCTTCACAGATATGCCTGAGCGAGAATGCAGAGAACATAGAAATACATCTTCAAAGATATACCTAAGTGGATATATATATGGTTTAACTTATATAACTTTACCAGATATAACAATGTCTACCATATATAGCTTTACTGTATATAGCTTTTTACTATACATAGCTATTTACATGACAATTTACTATAAGCTATAAATAAGCATTAGGCTCTCTCCAGCTATATATATATATACTTACCTCTATTTACATTACATACCAAAATGATAATCGGGGTATTAAATTATTGACATGTCGACACATTTATGGATTTGACATTGATATAGAAGTGAAAATCAACATTTTCATTATATATAAAAAGAAAAAAAACATGGAACATAAAACAACAAAATGTTAAATTTGTTTAAAAAATGTAAAAGCGTTTATTTATTATTATTTATATTTTTTAGAAATATTTATTAACATTGTCATTTTATCAATATTTGGCCTCTCTATTTTTGTTAACATTGAAAATTTAAATTTTGGCAATATATATTTTCCTTTTAAATACAAAGGATATTATTTTCCAGATTGTTAGATACGGTACTTAATTGCAATAAATAATACTACCACTTTTTTTTTTTTTAAAAAAAGTATAATTAATTAATATCAAAATAAATTGTTGCAATCATAAATTAAATTCAATATTTTAATTATTTTATTTAATCGATTAAAATAACAATATATAAGTATCTTTACTTTAAATGTTAATTAAAAGTAGGAAAAATTACTTTTTTAGCCTCCGAAGTCAAGTTTAGTATCCCTACCATTTGTATTTAGTGGCCTTTTTTGGTAATTCATCAATTAGAAGAAGAATGATGTGGCACCTATTTTTATTAAAAAATATATATTTTTCTAATTTTTAATTATTAAAATCACCTTCACGTGACAAAAATTGCAATGACACTTCTCTCATTTTGCTACGGGTTCGTTCTTCTTACTGCTCATGTCGAGCCTAGTGCTCCCTTCTCGAGCCAATGACAACTCTTATGAAGCCACCCACTTCTACCGCTGAGCAACTCATTGTCTCAGACTCATTCAAACGATTAAAATTTTTATTATTTTTCTCCCAACACTGAACAAGGGAGGTTTTTCTAACATCATCGGACTTTTTTCTTCTCACGAATCACAACGACCATTTTCGTCTTTGCTCCCTTTTCTAGATTTAGCTCAATTATAAAACCCGAACTCTACCCCCATTTTCCTCTTCCTCTCCTCCTCTTCGTTGTTGTTTTCAATGTCAGTCCAAGTGGCGAAGGATGTCGAGAGATTCTTGAGGACTTTTAAATTTCTATTTTGATCCTTAAACTTTTAAATAAATTATATTTTTGTCCATGAACTTTTAAAAATGTCTATTTTAGACCTCATACTTTAAAAATACTATAAAATCAGTTTTTATGATATTTAAAAAAAAATTAATTATACAAATTTGGATTTAACCAGCGAAAATTATTATACAAAAAAATATAATTAAAAAATTAATTAAATTAATTTATAGTAAATAAAAATTATAATGGTAAAAGTATATTAAAATATATATATATATAGAATATATGCAAACCGACATGAATAACAGGCGCTTGTTAAGTTTTAAAAGACTTAAAAAACGTGAACGACAAGTCGGCAGAAACTGTCCCCACCCATCGTCCGCTTTTTCCTCTTTCTTACGTTTTTATTCAGACCCACGTTGAAATTACCAAAATAGACATTTCCGTACCCTTCCGTAAAAATTTTAGGGTATCTTTTTCTTCAGAATAGTCATAATTTTGCTTTAAGCTTCTCGAGAAGGCTTCATACCAATAGAGATAATATTTCTTAAATATAAACTCATGATCAGTCTCTAAATTAGTCGACGTGAACTCATTCTTAAATATTATCTAATATTCTTCAAATCTTTTATCTTTTTGTACTTTCTTTAACTGATTAATGGAATTTTGATGCGAAATTATGACAATGATACCAATAAAAGTTCCTTAGCTACTAAGTTTAATGTAAATTCATCTTAAAAATGATTTAATTAAAATAAATAAATAAATAGTTTATGAAATTTGAATATTCGCCTAATTTTTCTAATTTAAAATATTTTTATAGGTTCTCCGACTTCAAATTTCTTATCTAATAAATTTTGGCAGTTAACTCTATCAGTTTGATACTAACCGGGGTGGCATTGTTTTATGCATAATGTAAAGAATTTTTGTAATGAGTTATATTTGACTACAGTGAATGTAAGGTTAGATAAATCTTAACACTCGATGGTTATTAATTTAGTGCCTTAGTTGATTCAACGTGTAAAAGAATTATAGAATATAAAAAACGATAGCTAGGAAAATAAAAAGAGATCGACACGAGTACAACTCATCGGTTTGGATAGCCACTCGAGTCGAAGTTTATAAAGATGTCCTCGTCTCTGTCTCCTATTTCATTTTGAAATATTTTTGGATAATTTTTATTTTTATAAATATATATAAAATCATAATATTTAGTATGAAAAAATATAATATAATTTCTAATATTATAATATATTTTTATACGTTCAACGAGGAGGAGTCAGTCGAAGACGGACCCACTTTGGATTTAGAGGTAGTAGTTCACTCTTTTGTAGCATTGCAGATTTATCGAACAACAAGTTTCGTCTCTAAATTGAGCTACTCTTTTGTTTTTTTTTTTATGGAAGATAACTTACTTTACCTAAGCAGCATAAAACCATAATTGCAGTGAGATTATTTACTGAGTATTTCTTAAAATACTCGACCGATATCGTACTCTCATTTTTTACGTAAATGTACAACATCCATGTATGAATGATGACATCGTGGTGAACGGTCGTGAGCCCAGAACTAGGCTAGAAACGGAAAATATAATTTTGATACGTTTATTTGATAAGAAAATTTTCATCCTTCCGTGCTTAAATGGAAATTCCCTAAGTGATTTGAGGTGGGTCTTTACGGGTCGAATTCGGATTAAAAGAACATCTCTAGTTAAGGACGGGACGGTGGAGTATTTCACTGAATTAGAACCGAACCGAACCGAATGCAAAATGGGTGGTTTTCCGATTTCCTCGGTCTTAGCATCTCTCTCTCTGTCTCTCCAATTCATTCTGGTTTCAATTTCTTTCTCTCTCTCTCTCTCTCTCTCTCCCTTTTTCTTTTCTATTCTTATCCCTCTGCCCCTTTCTTTACCTTTCCCAGTTCTTAATTAATTCGTTTTCTTTTGGGTGTTTTTTGATCTTCCCGCCCCCGATTTATCTCCGGTGACGGCGATTTCAGGTGGGAGATCCCTCGATCCGCCTTCGCCTTCTTCTTCTCTCACTTCTCTGCCATTTTCCACTATGATTTCGTATTCAGTGCATTGAAGGGGCCTCTGATCTCTCTGCTTCTCTACTTCCTTTCATCAATTCCGAGACGATAACCCTTCTCTTTCATCCCCTTCTTACAGGTAACCATCTCTCTTTCTCTTTATTTCTTTCTTTTTTTTCCATTTTCTACATTTTTTTTGTGATGATTGCGTTACTGGGTCTGATTCGATTGGGGCATTTTTTTTAAAGGAAAAGAAAATTGGGCGGATGGGGGTTGTTTTTCAAGTCTAGGGTTGGTTATTAATTCGCGTTTGTCTCATTTGATTTCTAGTTTTTGGCATTGCGTGCTTGGCGAATCGTAGGGTGGCGTTGATATTTGGATCCACGAGAGGGTGTTGTCAATACTCCGTCGAATCGAGCTGTTTGTGCATCATTGATTCCCCCTTCGATCAGATTTCTGTGGGCCTCTGTTGGAAACTTTGGAAGGCGGGTCTCTGATCTGATTTTTCTTGCATGTTAGTTTGTCACTTCTGTCATCAATTTGGAAACGGTGTTCCAGGGAAAGGCAGGAATCTGAATGTGTCGCCATTGCTAAGCCCTTCCATTATATTTCCTTGTCTTCTTCATTTCCAGGCACAGAGATTTAGGGATTCTTTTAAATATTTTGTTTGAATCGTGCTGATATTTCGTCTGCTGAGGCGTGGACGTGTTTCAGAGGGAACTGATTGTTGGTAGAACAAGAATATGGGTTTAGGAGGATAATGGGATGCGGATTCTTAGTGAAATGGAGTTCAAATTCTTTTGGTTCTTTGTGTTTTTCTTGGATGGATTTGGGATGAAAGGTTTAATGTGTGCTGGGGATTCGTTTGATTTGCATGTGAGACTACGCAATGTTGTTAAAAGATATTTATGACATCTGATCAGCCCCTGCTGGCTTCATCAGAATCCCCATCTCAAAATCGTGGTTCCTTTGGTTGTCTATGTCGCAGTGCTTCTTTTACCTCTTCCAGTTACGACGATTCTCAGAATGACATTGTGGATGTGAAGGAAACCTGCGTCAGCCCTTTTGGAGATAACACTTGGAGTAGTGAGAATTGTCTCGAGAAGTTCCACTTCGCTATCTAGGAAGAGGCAGTTTTATACTGTTGGCTCTCTGTTTTCCTCAGCAGTTTCCTTTTGCATACCCCACCCAGGATAGAAGACGCCTGGTCAAGTGGGGTGCAATGGAGCTACATAATATTAATGATAACCCTGCAAGCTTTGAACTCTCCAGGGTCCAGGAGAAGTTACATAAGGCACAAAGAAGTCGTCATAAAAGTATACAGTTTGAGGATAATTTACAGCATGACGATAATCCAAGGTTGATATACATCAATGATCCAAGGAGAACTAATGATAAGTATGAGTTCACAGGAAATGAGATAACCACCAGCAAGTATACATTGATTACCTTCTTGCCGAAGAATCTCTTTATTCAGTTCCATAGGGTTGCCTATCTTTATTTTCTTGCTATTGCAGCTCTTAACCAGCTTCCACCTTTGGCAGTCTTTGGGAGAACGGTATCTCTTTTCCCCCTCCTGTTTGTGCTATGTGTTACAGCTATTAAAGATGGCTACGAGGATTGGCGTAGACATAGATCTGATCGTAATGAGAACAATAGACAGGCTCTCGTGCTTCAATCCGATGAATTCCAATTGAAAGTGTGGAAAAAAATACGAGCAGGTGAAGTTGTGAAGATCTGTGCAGACGAGGTCATTCCTTGTGACATGGTTTTATTGGGGACAAGTGATCCTAGTGGTCTTGCTTACATACAAACAATGAATTTGGACGGTGAATCAAACTTGAAGACAAGGTATGCTAGGCAGGAAACAGCATTTGCAGTAGCCGAGGGGTGTTCATATTCTGGTCTTATTCGATGTGAACAACCTAATAGGAACATTTATGAGTTCACTGCCAATATGGAGTTCAACAACCATAAATTTCCCCTCAGCCAGTCAAACATAGTCTTGCGTGGTTGTCAGCTGAAGAACACTGAATGGATTATTGGGGTGGTTGTCTATGCCGGACAAGAGACAAAAGCCATGTTAAACAGTGCAATGTCTCCTGCCAAGCGAAGTAAACTGGAGGGTTACATGAACAGGGAAACATTGTGGTTGTCAATCTTCCTCTTTGTCATGTGTCTAGTTGTGGCCCTTGGAATGGGGTTATGGCTTGTTCGGCACAAGGAACAGCTTGATACCTTGCCATATTATAGGAAAAGGTATTTCACAAATGGGGCCGACGATGGTAAGAAGTACAGGTTTTATGGAATACCTATGGAAACCTTTTTCTCCTTTTTGAGTTCTATTATAGTGTTCCAGATTATGATACCGATATCCCTTTATATTACAATGGAGATGGTGAGACTGGGGCAGTCATATTTCATGATTGAAGATAAGCACATGTACTGCAGAATCTCTTGCTCAAGGTTTCAGTGCAGATCATTGAATATCAATGAGGATCTTGGTCAAGTTCGCTACATTTTTTCTGATAAAACAGGAACACTTACTGAAAATAAGATGGAATTTAAAAGAGCAAGTGTGTACGGGAAGAATTACGGGAACAACTTGACTGAGGGTTATTCATCAATGTATTCCATTCCAGGTACGAAAATGAATTCATTGCTACCATCATCATAATTTTGTAATCCATGTTTGAGTGAGCTTATAAAGATAACTCCTATAAGCTGCCAATGCAATGGCCATTGGTTAATGTTTCTGGATTTCTTTTAGCTTGGTGGTTGAAAATTGTTTCAAGTATTATTGTTATTGCTATTATTATTATTGCCCAACATGCTAATAAGTGCACTAAATTTCTTTACGCTGATCTCTATCTTTTGTTGTTCAATGCATGTTTGTTATTGAGCTTACATTTTTTTGGGGAGATCTTGCATTTTTTCTAATTTACTGTCCTAAGTGGTTGTAGTTACAAGTATATATTAGATGAACACATGAATTGAACTAATACTGTTGGGTAATTTCTTCGTACTTGGTATAAACATAACAAGATTTGTCGGTGACCTCAGTAACGTCTCAATTTTACAAACTATTATAACATTTTTACTGTTGAGGTGTATGGTGTAAGGAATATCTATAATCTTCAGAGTTTAAAAGGCAGGGGTTGGCACATGACTTCCAAAACTAATAAGAATTAGGTTTACTTGCATTTCTGATGACAATAAAACTAGGTCTAGTTTTTGGTGTCAGTATGATTTCCAATTATATGGCCAGCCTATGTCCTGTGATGTTCTTCCTTGAGTAATCAAAACCTTCTGGTAGATGAAATTCTTTGACTGTATCATGTTTTTCTTTCTTTTTCCTTCATCTAGTGTGATCTTTTGCAACAGCAACTATAGGGGGGAGGAGGAGGAAACTTAAATCTGAAGTTGCTGTTGATACTGAACTTCTCAAATTATTGCACAAGGACCTAAATGGAGATGAAAAGATTGCTGCACATGAATTTTTTCTTACATTGGCTGCATGCAATACTGTAATTCCTATTCTCATGGATGACAAATCTAGTTATGAAAATGGTGAATTGCACGAGGATGTCGAAACTATTGGTTATCAGGGGGAATCCCCTGACGAGCAGGCACTAGTTGCTGCAGCCGCTGCTTATGGATATACCCTTTTCGAGCGCACATCTGGGCATATTGTTATAGATGTCAATGGTGAGAACTTAAGGTAGATAATCCCTTGCTTTCTAATTTTATTTCTTAGCTTGTCTGATAATTTTCTATTCCTACCCTGTTTTGTTGTGTTGACCATTTTTATGACGGTTTTGCTATACAACATTACATCATGTCTTTCTTTTTTGTGATTCTAGGTTGGATGTTTTGGGTTTACATGAGTTTGATAGCATTCGCAAAAGAATGTCTGTTGTCATCAGATTCCCTGACAATACTATAAAGGTGCTGGTAAAAGGTGCCGATACTTCGATGTTGAGTATTTTAGGCAATGACTCTGATAGGGAAGAATTTATCAAGCATGCTACTCGACGCCATTTGAGTGAATATTCAATGGAAGGTTTGCGAACACTTGTAGTTGCTGCCAGAGACCTGAAAGATTCTGAATTTGAGCTGTGGCAGAGCAGATATGAGGATGCTAGCACTTCACTGACTGATAGAGCAGTAAAACTACGTCAGACAGCAGCCCTTATAGAATGTGATCTAAAGCTTTTGGGTGCAACTGCTATTGAGGACAAGCTTCAAGACGGTGTACCTGAAGCCATTGAATCTCTTCGACAGGCTGGAATAAAGGTCTGGATTCTGACGGGAGATAAGCAGGAGACAGCCATATCAATCGGTCTCTCCTGCAAATTGCTGACTCCCGATATGCAGTCAATTATTGTCAATGGAAATTCCGAGTATGATTGCAGGAAACTTTTAGCTGATGCTATAGAAAAATATGGTATTAAATCAACACAGGGCAGAAGTCAAACACAGAAGATGAATTGTGAGAATGAACGCCATGATACACCAAAGATATCCGGTATGTCAGATTTTAATGAAGAGAAAGAAGAAGTGACCGATAAACCACTAGCTCTAATAATTGATGGAAACAGTTTGGTGTACATTTTGGAAAAGGAATTGGAGTCAGAGGCAAGAATCTTGTTATTACCTTTGAAAACCTATACATTTTAGCATCATCAAAATCGCTTTAATACTTTACGACTTGTTAATGATTGTTGGAATGATTCCTATTTTATGGCAGCTTTTTGAACTTGCAACTTCATGCAACGTTGTGCTATGCTGTCGTGTCGCTCCTTTGCAGAAAGCTGGAATTGTTGATCTGATTAAGAGTAGAACTGATGATATGACATTGGCAATTGGCGATGGTAAATTTCTTCTCTAACTCCCAAAATAACCATAGATTATACCTTTGTTTGTTGAGTATAACTTACAAATGCTTTATGTGCTACACTCATCTGCTGTCCAATGGCAATTATTTTAGGGGCCAATGATGTCTCAATGATTCAGATGGCCGACGTAGGCGTTGGTATATGTGGACAGGAAGGGCGTCAAGCGGTAATGGCATCTGATTTTGCCATGGGACAATTTCGCTTTTTAAAAAGATTACTTCTAGTGCATGGACATTGGAACTATCAACGTGTAGGCTACATGGTTCTATACAACTTCTACCGCAATGCTGTTTTCGTCTTGATGCTCTTCTGGTATGGTTTCTTTTTGCATCATAGACTGGATACATGCTTTCCAATTCCCTCGACATTGAACTGCTTTCATGGTCTCCTTTAATACTATATGTCGTCAAACGAACTTAGAGAGTAAAATACTTCAAAATGGAAAATGTAATTTGTGCTATAAAAAGGAAATCAATGGCCTCCCTCTCTTCAAATCTGGAACATGAAGAAGGGACAGATTCATGACTCTGAAACATTATATCTTCTGTCGATGAAATTTATGCATTATTGATGTGCCTTTTTGTTTTGTATTTCTTAGGTACATTCTATGCACAGCATTCTCAACAACTTCAGCTTTGACTGATTGGAGTAGTGTGTTTTACTCTGTTATTTATACGTCTATCCCCACTATTTTTGTTGGTATTCTGGACAAAGACTTGAGTCACAAAACCCTACTCCAATATCCTAAGCTCTATGGTGCTGGCCATAGACAGGAGGCATACAATTTGCGTCTCTTTTGGTTCACAATGATTGATACCCTTTGGCAGAGTCTTGTTCTCTTCTATGTGCCATTGTTCATTTACAAGGAGAGTTCCATTGATATATGGAGCTTGGGAAGTTTGTGGACCATAGCTGTTGTTATCCTTGTGAACGTACACTTAGCGATGGATGTTCAACGTTGGGTATATATTACACATGCTGCAGTCTGGGGATCCATAGTCATAACGTACGCATGCATGGTGGTGTTGGATTCGATACCCGTTTTTCCTAATTACTGGTTGGTTTCCTGTACCGAATCTTGGTTATCTCGTCTGATTTGTGCTGCAAATGTAACGAGTTCGTCTGATTTACTTGCATGATATAACCTTTTTTTTGTTGTTTTGCAGGACGATCTTTCATCTGGCTAAGTCCCCAACATATTGGTTGTCTATATTGCTCATAATAGTTGTTGCATTGCTTCCACGCTATCTTTTTAAAGTTGTGCACCAAAGATTCTGGCCCTCGGATATTCAGATAGCCAGAGAAGCCGAGGTACTGAGAAAACGAAAAGGTCGTGAACAGTTTAGTTCAAAGCAAGGTCGAGATTCCAATTAACACACGTCTATTCTACCATCTTTGTGAGCAAAAACTCATTTGCAGATGGCTTCCCTGTGGTGAGCACATGCGTGATTGTAACTTTGAAGGTTAGACATGCCAAGTGATGCATTTGTCCTTGGACGTAGATGAATTCTTTTAGTTAATAGATATCTACTCTGAAGGCTTAAGTTACTTTAGAAGGTCGTATAATGCAAATTTAAAACTCGTCCTCGGACACGACCTGCATTGGGAGAGTTGGATCGCAGAGTTTGAAGTCGGGTGCGATATACAGATGGGAGACGGTGGAATGCCCCACCATACGAAATGTCTAAGGTTGGGTCGAGGAAGGATGGAGGGATCTCGAGTCGTAGGGTTATATGTTTTGTTCTCGGTTGGAATGGAGGTGGGGAAGGATGAAATTTAACGCAGAATTCTCTGATATACTGTATCATATGACATTAGGGTGCTGAGATAAGGAGAGATTGAATTGAAGTATATAATAGGGGCTTTTTTTTTTTTTTTTTTGTTAATTTTGTTTGTTTAACCCTTGTAAAGATTGGAGACATTTTTACGCATCAACATAAGGAATGAACACTCACATACACCTTTGCATTATACTCATCTCTTGTTTGTGCGTTGTAACCAAGCTGTTGCCTTTGTCCTAATGGAAACTTTAGTTGATTTGGAATGTTTACATTCAGAGGAAGAACAATTTGAATGTGGTTTTCATTAGAGCTTATTATGACACTTGCAGAAACCAGTTCAAAACATAAGATCAAGTTTGGAGCGTGAAAACTATCACGACCATGCTCGAGCATTAAAACATATACCATATTTTTCTTAGGGTTTGTTTTGTTTAGGAGGACTCTCAAGCTTGTAGCTTCTAGTATCTCGCCCGAGCAATGAATGAAGAGAAGAGTCTTCCCAATAGTATTGATAAGTTCGTTGGCATCTATAAAACCTTTTTTTCATTCTGTACTAAAATCTTTCCTTTTTGATGCGAGCGTTCAGGATGATCCTATGGACGTAAAGTAAGACCATAGTTGCACTGCACAAAAAAGAAATGTCTCAGCCAACAGCCAACAAACCCGTCATAGTGGATCCATTAATAGGTCGGATTCATTAATATCGTGATTGGGTTGACCAGGCCGATCCATTAATAGGACCGATCTATTAATATCGTGTTGATCAGGCCGAGTAGAATATCATGACCATATCATGATTGGGTCAACGAAAAGATTGGTTTCTTTGCATCCATCCAAAAGAAGCAATAATGAACATGAGAAGAAGGAAGAAAGAAAAGCCATACCTGATCAAAGTTGTCAAGAGATTAACAAATGATGGTCTCTGCATTGAGAAAGAGAGAAAAACAAAAACAAAGCATTAGAAAAGAGTCCTAATTCTGTAGTTCGAGAGCATCATTTACCACGTAACAATCATCTTTAGTTAGTATCTCGAGTACTCACCCGAAACACTAAGCGCAACTCTCTAAGAAATAGAATGCTTGCAATTGCTGTTGCACAAAAAAATCTCGAAACGGTTAAGAATACATTCTAAGAAGAGAGTCTAGAAGAGATGGAGACTGAAAACTGATTAGATGATTCGAAACGGTTGGACTAAAAAAGAATGCGACTCATAAAACGGAGCAAGAGCTATCTGAATACGCTCGTATATTTCATAAGCAACAATACGGTGGCATAAGACGACAGATTATGAAGCACATGAAATTCACCAAACATGATCATGATAAGACGACAGGAAAAATACTTGCCAATAAGAATGGTTAAACAAGTTTGAATGGTGTAGAATTAAGGACCAAAATGCTTACTATAACGGCTCAAACGTGGGATCTCAAAATCCACCCCCCTCCGAAGCCAGCATCCTAACAAGCCCTCATTCTCCTTCTCCAATCGATGTGGGACCCCCCAATCCACCCCTCTTCCGAGGCCCAGCGTCCTTACTGGCACACCGCCTCGTGTCCACCCCTCTTCGGGGCTCAACCTCCTCATTGGCACATCGCCCGATGTTTGGCTCTGGTATCATTTGTAACAACCCAAGCCCACAACTAGCAACCTCTTTGGGCTTTCCCTCAAGGTTTTTAAAACACGTCTGTTAAGGAGAGGTTTCCACACCCTTATAAATAATGTTTCTCTCCCCTCTCTAACCGACGTGGGATCTCACACTTACTCAACACACCACTCTAACACACCACTCTAAGAGTGACCATCATTTATGTTTATGTTATGTTATTGAATGAATGACAGACTGACCTGTCTGCCCCTTAAGTGCAAGAGGAAGTGATTGTCCTCTTTTGTATGACTGCAAGCTTAAAATACTCAAGGCCAACAAAGCACCACCAGGTATCATTCCAAATCTAACTGCAGAAAGGCTTCCAGTTATCATAAAGGAAAGGAAACCACCACAAGAAAGGACCAGTCCTGTAGACCATTGGCAATAAAAAAAGGGGTCAGCAGGAGATTTATAAGCCCATGTGACGCCTAGACAAATCGACGCAAGAACAATGTCCATTAAACAAGTCACGGCTGACCCTACTCCGTCAAGCCTCGCATAAAGTTCGGTAATACATACCATATGGTACACCATAATGAAAGTCTTGAAGTTTTGAAATATCACTTAAGTCAGCAGTTGGAGAAGTAAATGTTTCCACAATCTCCTTAACTTCTTCAGGACAGTTCTCTGCAACAGTGGCAATATATTCTTTACATTCTTCACCGCATTCTTGCATTATAAAGTTCAAATCATTCTTTGCCTTATCAGCTTGAATCTTCAAAACCTTAGAAGTTTCTTTCAGAGCAACTAATGCTTTCGCTGAGTATTCCTCATACGCTTCCTTTGAAATGGCTTTCATCTTCAGGGCTTGTCTTTTGAAGGAATCTAAAGCTTTTTTCCATAACTCTTGTGGCTTTTCTGCATCAAAATTGATATCTTTTCCATCTTTCTCCCCTTGAGATTCTGAATGCTAATTTTACAAATAATAAAACAAATGGGGCTATCAATCTACATTCAACGCATATAATCAACTATATCACCTTGAAAGTTCACTAAAATAAACAAAATCTTGATGTATCAAGCAAGAACTTGTATATATGTACACGTCTCCATTCAATATAAATGAAATATCATATCTCTCATGCAAATTTTAGCTTAAAAACCTTAACCCGTGACAGAAAAGAACAGAATTTGGCATACCGACTCCTCATGCGACGCGGAAAACACCATAACCCGTCGAGTCAAAGCACATCTTTGATACGGCGAGAGAAACCCATTATGGGTAAGAGTGTTAGCGACAGAGGAGACCTTACAAGCACGATAACCCATCAAGGGATCGAGCCGCAGAGACGAATTGGGGTGGTAGCGGACAGGACCAGCAGTAGACTTATTGAGCTTCAAAGGGGATGGGTGGCCGGGGGAAGGAGTGGGATTGAGAACCAAAAGCGACTCCATCGGCAGCAACAGAAGCAGAGAAAGAGAGAGAAAAGCTAAGGGCGTAAGAGATGAAGGGAAATGGGGAAGGAGAAAGGGCTCTTAGGATGTTATAGAAACAAGGATACCGCCGGTGGAGCAATGAGAAAGTTCTGATCTTTTTGACGTTTTGGATTTGGGGTTTGGTGGGAAGAATCACGTAAAGAACCATCAAATGTTTTTTGATGGTTCTTTGTCGAACCTTTTTGCTTTTGTGAAACCCCCTTGTTTCATTACATTACATACTCCAAGCCCTCTCTTTCCTCTTTTTTTGAGTTTAACCGACCGGGGTGAGAGGTCGAATCGTTCATTAAGTGAACGTCTTATTCATTAAATTATGTTCAATTGCAGAGTAAAACCATTACGACAAAGAATAGAACAATGATCAGCAACCAAAATGGGAAAAATGGGCCACAGATAGACATGTGAATCAGAGTTCAATACTCAGCCTTACCTTTAATTCAGTCAACAGGGCAAGCAAGGAATAGCACATGTTCCTATCTTCTTCTGCTGCTACTTTTCAGGTAAACCTGATTGAGACAAGACGACAATCAAGAACCTTTTGACATGCTTGCTTGGGACTTGAATGAATGGCATCTTCAATCTGCTCCAACACTCATCCTGCTCAAAAGCTTAATCACATAAGTAATCTTCAATTTTGGAGGGAAAATAAGAATCATGGTTGAAGAAGAAAGCAGTTTGAAACTCGGGCATGAGAAAATATATAAAATTTACATTTAATGACATTGTTAGAACTATATCTACACAAAAATAAGCATATATTTATGTTTTTTTTTTCTTCCATCTGCTGTACATTGTGTTGAATCAATCACCAGAAGACCAGAGAAGAAAACAAAGAAGAAAAGTTTAAAAAACAATAAACAAATAAAATAAATTTAGAATCTCAGTATCCTTCGATTCGAGGTCTTCGAAGGGATGATGCGGATGATTTTCGCCTTTCTTGTCGATCGAAATCCTCAAAGGAGAGGGTTGAACATAGCCGGGACGGAAGCGTAGGAGTGAAAGTTTTCGCACCAGGTGAAAGAGATGGGTGAACTCCAGAAGGTGGAGAAGGCGAGAAACTTAATCTGGCTGCTGCTGGTGAAATGAATCCATCAAGGCTTGGTGATCTTAGCATCTGTTTTGCAGGGGAAGCAGTGGGTTCTTGCAGAGGGAATCGGCTCGATTGCTTTAAATTTTGGATGGTCTTCAGATGCTCAACTACATTTCTCATTGTGGGTCTTTCAGAGGGATCCTTCTGAAGACACTTTTGAGCAATGTCAGCCACTGTCCTGGCTGCCTTGGTTGGGAAGCGGCCTTTTAATTGAGAATCCATGATCAACGACAATCGACCATCGTCGGCGAGGAACGGTCTGCTCCACTTAACTAAGTTCCTCTCTTCTTTTGGGTAACGAGAATCGAGATTTCTTCGCCCAGTTAGCAATTCTAGAAGAACGACTCCAAAGCTCCAAACGTTGCTCTTTGGGGTAAGCAGCCCCCTCTCCAATGTCTCCGTTGGTAGATATGCTGCTGCCTGAATATGTAAAAACATGAAAAGCAATCAACAGCCTTGCATTCAAACTGGTCTGAGCGAAAAATGAAGGTTTAAGAAGCCATGATAATAGAATGTACCACCAAAAATTCTATAGCATGGGGGGAAAATCAAAGGTAAAATTCCACTATTATAATCAAGAACTCACCACAGAATTGTTAGAGATCTCTGACTCGGGTGTAGGAACCTGTCCAACACATCCATATCCAGAAAGCTTGGCACTAAAATCCTTGTCGATTTGTATGTTGGCGGTCGAAAAATCATTGTACATTGCCTGTAAATAAAGATCACATTCAGCTTTAAAATAATAAAACGCTCTGTTTTTTTCTTTTTTCTTGAGAGTGACCGTGTATGCTGGCTGGGACGGGGAGTGTGGAATGTTATTGGTTATTATTTTGGTCAATCGAAACACTTCCAAACCAAAATCAGCTATAAAAATACAACTCTAGGTTCAAGTAGTATTGATTCAAATGAGGAAAACAAGAAAATGGACCACTAAATGCTCACCTGAAAAGGTCCCTCTTCATGCAGGAAAGTGAGTCCTTGTGCAGCACATAATGCAATCTTTATTCTTGTATTCCAGTCAATAGGAGGCCCATCTGATCGTCCATACAATAGACGATCTAAGCTTCCGTGAAAGAGCCTCTCGTACACCAGCATTCTCTGCCCTGAACCCTCATGGGCATGAAATCCAAGCAATTTACAGATGTTTGGATGTTGCAAGGATGCTAGAGTACTGACCTCGGAAACAAATTCCTTAAAACCCTGGTGTATAGAGTAGCAAGTGCATAAGAATTTCCAGTTGCTTCACAACCACAGTGATATAAATCAACTCAAGTGACCCCTTAGCCTAAATGACAGTACAAAATACTTTTTGAGTTAACTTAAATGTGTCAAAAGCTCAAATGACACTCCTGAGCTTTTGTGCGAACTAAATCATGTATAGATGTGTGAGAATAAAAGGATCAGTCCTAGTTTTCGTTGTAGAGAGCTAGCTCGTGGTGAAAGCTTTTAAACAGAAAATAAGGATGAAAGATTATAAACAGGAGCTAGAAGACTAGCTACAAGAATGGACTCCAATCTAACATAATGAGACCACACGAGTAATTTACGAAGAATCTGATCAACAGATGTCCGTAACGAAGAATTAAATCTAACCAACTTTCAAAACTCGTCATAAGAGCTGTCGAGGTATCAGATTTCATGAACTACATAGACCATTAAAAATGGAAACATGCACAAGTGATATACCAGACTTTATATCTCACCTGGTTTGAGGGATGACGGCAAGTAACGGTGGCTTCAAACTTCTTTGAAGTCGACGCGTCATCTCCAAAAGAAGCCTTATACATTAAAGAAGACGTCTCTGAAACACAGGATTCGGCAGAAAAATTATGGCAAGCAGCAGATATTTCTTCAAACGAAAAATTTCTGACCGCTCCCACAGGTGGTAGTGGTAAAGGTCCAGAGGCATACAGAGGGCCAGATGACACCACTGATTTAAAGCTTCCAGTTTTCTTTAAGGCCACAATAATCTGGGGTGATGGAAGAGGAAGGGGTTGAGGACTTGGGGATCTTTGTTCCTTATTCATTCCGAATCTACCAATTGACTCTTCTGCTTCGTCATATTCAACTGATGAAAGGGCGTCCTGTTCTGCTACATCGAGAGTTGATGGAGCGGACAATGTACGTACTCTACTTCCAGCAGCTCCATTAGCTGGTTGTACAGGTTTCACTCTGGTGTTAAAACTTGGTGGTGCAGACTGCAACGTGCGGATACAAATTTGGGGTTCGGGCAGCATAGTTGGCACAATTTCTTTAGACTTAACGCGTTTGTCATGAACACTCTGTGCATGATTTTTCTTCTTGCTCTTTGAAACTCTGAAACACCCCATCTTATGTTCAAGATGGTAGTAATGCAAACAAGCCTCGTACTCTTAATCAACCTGCAAAATACAACTGCAGAATAAATTATAGAACAAAGCCCTCAATTAAAAGAAATTAAAAGACATAAATAAAGCAAGTTCTAAATTAATAAACCCAAAAACAAAAGCTAAACTATTTGTGCATTCATATTCAAATATCATCATGAACTGACTATACACGAAATACAACTAAAGCCCTCAATCACCATTTTTGTTTACTTCCTATCTTCTACACGAAATACAAATCAAAGACGGAGATGATAAAAAAAAATCAACAAATTTAAAAGAATGTTTTAAAATGCGTCTAGCAGGGAGAGTTTTCCATACTCTTATAAACGAATCTTTCGTTCTCCTTTCCAACCATCATGGTATGTCACAATGAAATTCCTAAGAAACTCTATAGACCCCATGGATAATCAAATAGCAATCCAGCTGCCAGGAAAGAGAACATCCATCCTTCCAAAACGAAAACAAAAGCAAGTTCACAATTGAAATCCCAAATAAATCTGCTCCAGCAAATTACCAAAAAGTAAACCTCAGAGCTGTATACCCATTAATCTTGTCACCTTCAGAATAACAAGAAAAAGCAACACCAATAGAAGAAATCATCGCAAACTTCTAACCATACCCACAAGCTCAATTACCCTAACTTTTGGGGGAAACCCCATTATCCAATCATCCAATCATCCAATCAAACAAAATCAAGCAAACAAAACCCCATCTCCACGGCGATAAAATCCACGAACCATTTCATCCGATTACACAAAAAACAAGCAACAAAAACCCCATCTCCATCTGATCTTCCGACAAGAAAACAGAAACAGAAAATGAAGCCAATCCGGATATAATTCAACAGTGGCGGAGTTTTCAATGAATTAAAAATAATAATTAAAAGAAATGGAACAAATTCAAAGAGTAAACGAAACGATCATCCATACCTGGAGAAAAGCAAGAGGTTGCAAGTAAGTGTAAACAGATCGGCGGAGTGCGAAATGAATGGTATGAGAAATTGGGGTTTGTGAGATTGAATTGAAGTGGAAGAAGATGGAGAAGGAGAAGGATTAAGCAAAGATTTAGAGAGCAAAAACAGTGAAAGAAAGAAATGGAAAATGATTGAGAATTGGTTTAGGAACAGAGGGAGAAAGAAAGCAAAGAGCCTCCAATGAACAGTGTCGAAGTTCTCACCAAAACAAACAGATTTATTATTACATTTAACAAAAAGTATCTTTATTTAATATTGCTCTCCAAAAATAGCATATTCCCCTCCTTATGACCTTTATACCCCTCCCTCCTTTTTTTAATTATTTTTTCACTTTAGTCCTTCTATTTTTTAGGTTTTGCAAATTTGGCCTCTCAATTTTCTTAATTTATTTTACATAGTTGACTTAGCCATACACTATCGAAATTGGATTAAAATTTCAAGAACTCATTATATCCGACTAAATTTGATGGTGAGATTCCATGTAGATTGAAGAGGGGAACGAGGCATTCATTATAAGCATGTGGAAACCTCTCCCGAACATACACAATTTTAAAAGGGGATACGTTACGAGGTCAAAGTGGACAATATCTATTAGTGGTGGGTTTGGGCGGTTACAAATGGTATTAGAGCTAGATACTGGGAGACGTGCCAACGAGGACGCTAGCCTCTAAAAGGGTGGTTTGTGAGATCTCACATGAGTTGGAGAGGGGAGAGGAAATTTATTATAAGGATGTGAAAACCTCTCTCCAGTATCACTAAGTATTGAATATGAATTCTAAATTCTGATTCAATTCTTAGATATGGGGCATTGCAATATGGTCGTGAAATGCATGCAAAAATATGAATATAAATGAACTCATTTGAAAAGAATAACTCGTAAACAAGCTACAAAATAATTATTTTGATAAATTAATTTTTAATAAAATGATAAAAGATAAAAGCTAAGTTTTGTATTTTTGTTTCAAAA